CTTTTTGAGGAGTGGATGGGGGTGGATTTGGGAGGAGTCTGGGGGGAGCAGGAAGAGGTAAGGAAGAGGGGGACAGTGGTTGGTATGTAAAATGAATAAAACATTTAAAATAACACGAGAAAAGAAAAAATAGGAAAAAAAGGGACTTGCTGCTAAGCCTAAAGATCTGAGTTTAAAACCCTAAACGCACATGGTAGAAGGAGATCATGGATCGAGCAAGCTGTCCTCTGACTTCCACAAGGATAGATATAAACTGGCTCCTGCCCACTTTGTGTTCCAAAAACTTCTTCCTCCAGGACACCAGTTGTCTATGACAGCTTCACTTAGCCCACCTCACTCTCTCTTTACTTGCCATCTACTTCTTTTACTTAAATATACAGTAGTCATCGCAAACAATTTTATTTGAATCCCGAACTCATCTTTCCCCAAATCGCATTATTTGTTAGATCTGCTTATTTCTTCTTCATCAACCTTGCCTGACTATCTCACGATTCTCTCACTCTCATTGCTGTTCCAGCCCAGCTTCCCTGTCTGCCTAGACAGCGTATTTATTGTAAATGTAGAAAGCAAAGCGGAAGCCACAACCAAATGCAATTAAAATTGAATCTGATAAAATGATGCATTCTTCATTTTTCAAGTTAATTTATTCATCCTAAGTAGATCATAGACTTAGGTTTGTCTCTTTCCTGTCACAATGGCATGAAAGAAAGCACAAAATATTAATAATCCTCAGGTATCAAACAGGTCCAAGTTTTAGGTTAAGTTTTAGGCTGCATGTGAGATGGTTGCATCTTCCACATCTTGGTCCCGTCTGCTGAGACTGATGCATCCTCAGAGGGCACAGTTTCCTGGAGATATCATGGATGGTCAGTTTTCCTTTGTGAATCATCAGATCGCAGGCCCCGCAGTGCGTGTTACGGAAGTACTAGGAAATGTGGACAAAATGCCCATATGAGAGAACAGCTCGGCACTGGATCGTGGAGCAATGTGGGCACTGGTAGAAAAAAAAAAAACAACAGATTTCTGTTTCCATGACAATTGAGTAGTCCTTGAATCTATCCTCTTGGGCACACCCAGAGCTAGGAAGGGACTTCTAGTCTGACACCCGTGGCTCAGCTTTATATCCTCATGGACCATGGAAGTGATAGCCATTGTTAATGCTTGCTGAGAAAGTCATAACTGGGAACCTAAATCTAGAGCCTTGCACTGACTGTTTCAATGAATTCCCATTGCAATTCTCAAAGATAACAAGGACTCCCCACCCCACCCCCATGGTGTCAATGGAAAACCAGAGATTAAAGAGGTCAGCTTTCTTGCCCAGGTTCAGAGAGGCAGGAAGTTGTACAGCTGAGATTTTCACCCACTTGACCAAAATCAGGTCTAGTTCTCCTGACCACAACTTCAAACTGCGAAGCAGAACTGAGACATGATCAGGACAGCGGGGTCGTCCAGTGTAGATGGATGATAGATATACCTGGCCCGAGAACCCACCAGCCAAAGAGATGCTAGTGATATATTTGATTTCTTCTTCTCCAATTTTGAGCAGCTGTGAGGTGTTTAGAATATTGAGTCCAGTAACAGTATATATAAATAACCTTAACTTGATCCCCTTTGATTTTATTTTTGGATGCCATAGCTTTGTTCTTTCTTTATTTCGGCTAAGCCTCTACTGCGTGTTCCCTAAGCAGCAGAATGATCCATTTCAGGAGCATATTTTATGCGAGGCTGACACCAGCTGCTCCATGGAGACCTTCAGGCTCCTGCCAGAGTGTAATTGGCACCCAGGAGCAAGCAGGCTCCAAAGCACCAAAAAGCAAATGTGTTTAGCAATAAGTCTTTATCTCAGCATGAAAAAAAGCAATAAATTGTGATAAGTCTGAGCAGCTAGTCTCTAAACACACATACAAAATTTATTATGTGAAGGTTTAGCTTATTGCCAAAAAGGAAGACAATAGTACTGTCATTTTAATAGTCTCCCTATAACTTGGATTCTTTATAGGAACAAAGATGAGATTTTATGGAGTTTGTATTGTGGATATAAACAAGCTCGAAGGAAATAGAGAACATGAGAAAAATGATCCACTATTTACTCTTTTCAAGCCTCCAAAAATTCCACGGAATTAAGAAATTCTACTTTTTACATTGGCCAAGATAATGGCAATGGGATATTTAAACTTGAAATTTATATTTTCTCAATAAAAATTATAAGTTTATACATCAGCATATCGCCAAAACAATGTGTGGGACATGAAAGAAAAAGGGTCATATGTTGGAAGGAAGAGGAGCAGTGAGGGACGATGGGAAACCAGGAAGATATCGGGGTGAGAATAAACAAAGCATGGCAGTATGCACCTCCAAAACATCATAACTAGAGCTATCATTGGCACATGAAAATCAGTAAAATATAGAAAATAGGTGTGAATATATTATTGAAGTTTCGTAAAGACAATCTTGGCTTCTATAAATGGTTTTGTGGATCTCCACTTTCATTCAGGGAATCACAAGGTGGTCAGTAAATGAATTTGAAGATTACTTCTCTCTACTGCCAGGACAGTGACGTCTTGTGAGAAGTTTTAGATACTCCCAGGAGAGGAGATGTTTCTACAAGCTAGTAGTCTATTTAACTCATCTTTTCTATATTAGATTTTTTTTTAGCAGAAAGTTTGCCATGTTCCCCATAATCTTAGATTTATCAGGATATGCTAGATATCCTGAAGGTCATGTTACCTTTATCTTATATTAGATTCTTTCCAGTAGTCTCATACAATGGTCCATTAGTTGCCATTTAAATGTACCTCAGTTGAAGTACTCTTATCTCTTTTGGTTTTATTTCTTCTGTGATGTGATCTCACCAAGCCCCGGTAACTAAGTAGCCCAGGTTGACCTGAAAGCTGTGATTATCCTCCTGCCTCTGTCCAGAGGATTACAAGCTCATGCAACTTTTCCCAGCTTCACTTTTATCTTGTAACAGAGAAGAATTTGGCTGCACTCTGCCTAATAAAATATCTTATTTACGGGCAATATCATTCTAACTGAAAGCTTATGTTTAAAAACTGTAAAAAAATATTTAATTCATTTGTATCTTTTGTTACTTTATCTCTTAAAATCCTGAGAATCGCCCCCTAGCTCAGGGACTTCCTGACACAGTCACAATGACTAACCTAGTTTGTGTCACCTGGCCTAACATATATGTCAGGCAAATCTTTGAAGCCTCCTGACGTTTCCCCAGATGGCGTGTCGCCACAGGGGCACTGCCAGCTCCCATCTCAGAAGAGTCCCACGTCAGCGGCTCTGAGGAGCCTCTCATCTCATGCAGCAGAGAACATTGGCATCGCCTTGAGCATTTGTTGGACATAGAAGAGTTTTCGCTCAAAATGCTTTCCTCTCCTCAGAAGAAGAGAGCTCCGAGAAGGCTTCTGGAGTTACTTGAAACGAGAAGCTGTTTCTATCAGACTTGGCCTGCATCACTTGGCCTTCTAGATGTGCTTGAGGGGTTTGGCTTCCAGATATTTGGATCTAATTAATCACATATAATGTGATTGAAACCTCGAGAACAGTCGTGATGTCCACTGAAAATCTCAGGAATCCTCTGATGCTGCCTTCTTTTTAACACTCATTCTAAACATGTGTTTTGCAATAAAAGACTGAAAGGAAGTTTGGAAGCACTCACTTAGTATCTTTTAGAACTGTACTGGAGAAACCAGGTCAAATAAGAAGAGAAAATCCAGAATCATCCACTGAGCACTTTCCCTGGGCCTAGGTCTGCTTCGATGGCACAAATGGACTACAGAATAGCTACCTGATCACTTGAAGTTAAAAAGTAATATCATAGTTAGGAGTGGGGATGTAGCTCAGATGCACAATGATTACCTAATGTACCAAGAAAAACCTCTTAGTTTTATAGTAATAGAAATTATGAAGAAAGAAATTGACAAGCTAAATGATGGTTGTATAGTTGCTATTTCTATCTAATTAGTAACTATTATTCATTGAGAGCCAAAAAGGTGATAAAAGAGAGAAAATGGAATTAGCAATTCTTTCGTTGGTGAAGCAAAGTAAATTATCATAAAGCATGTTTATGAGGCTGGTGTTGTAGCACACGCCTCACAAGTGATCTGAGCAGCCCCTGGCAGGTGGTGTTGAGGCAGGAGTATTGCCGCCAGTAAAGGGAAGCCTGACTTACATAGTGTATTTCCAACCAACCTGGAATACATAATAACATGCTGATTCAACAACAGGAAGAAAGAAATATAAAAAAGGATAGATAAAAATAAAGGAAGGTAAAGAAAAGAGAAAGAGTATTTGTAAGTCACTGAAGAGTAAATTAAGATGGTCTACAGATGAACGGAGAAACCAGAGGTACATCAATAACAGCAAAAGAAACTAAATCAAAGCATGTAGAAAATACTTGAAATCAATGAGGTGAAATATTTTTTAATTTCTATATTGAATGAGACTTTCAGAGACAAGAGAGACAAAATTTAAAAGCCACACAAAGACTGTATTATTCTCAGACTCTTATTGAATGAATTTATATCATTCGTAATTTTCAGAAAGGAATCTGAACCCAGGAGGAAGGGTTAAAGCAAGTGTTAACAACAAGACAGGCATTTCCAGTCATGGGGAATTTGTTTTCTGACACATGGGTAACGAAACAAACATCAAGGGAACGCGATGACACATTGATGTGGTGATGTAATCATGTGTAATTCTGCAGTTCCGAGTCAGTGTCATGTTTACATGCTAGGCAATGAAAGAAAGCATAATCACTCTAAGATACTTTTACTTAATCAAGAAAGACAATTTGGTGAGGCAGCTAACAGAATCCACACTGCGAACTTGTGGTGGAACTTCGCTACCGAAATGGGTTCACCAATCATAAATTTGAGAGGGAGTAAAAGGCTTGGGAGAAGCTGGAGGGGGCGAGAGAGGGAGAAAATGGTGAATGTATAATACTCAAGTAAAAAAATTAAAAATTGATTAATTAAAATGAAAAGGATTGAGCTTTTTTGGCACAATAAACTAAAATTGGATTGGTGGAGAAAGAATTAGCATGGCCATTGCACAAGGATGTCACACAAATTTGTGAAGCGATGCCAATTTGTTTTTAAATCAACTAAGCAAGGCACATGTGGGCTCACAGAGATTAAAACAGCAAGTACAGGGTCTATATGGGTCAGCATACTTATTATAGCTATCAGCTTAGTGTTTTTATGGGACTCCTGACTGTGAGAACAAGTGGGTGTCTGGATCTTGTGCTGACTCTTGAGACTGTTTTCCTCCTGCTGGACTTCCATGTCCAACTTCAGTATCACAGTTTTTGTTTCATATTATTCTATTTATTTTGCTATGTTTGGTTTCTATCTCATAGATAGCAGGCAGAAAGGGAGTAGACCTGGAGAAGAGAGGAGGTGAGGAGGAACGGGGAGGAAGAGAGGGAGGGGAAAGTATAATCGTGATATATTGAAAAATATATTTTCAATAAAAAAGAAAAAAATAAACTCTGAGTTCATTTAATGTTGCTCTTACGGACATGTGCTTAGGGCTGAATACTAGGGACTGGATAATTCATCAGGGGTTTCATCTCTGGAAAAATAACCCGATTCTCCCTTTCTCAGCTGTCATTGATTTTCTGTAGCTCTTTATTTAGGGCTGTGCCTTTTGAAATTTTCCTCCTTCGCATCGGTATGCTGACTGGGGTTGTCGGCATACTGTAAGTCTTGCTTGGACAATTCTGATGCTGCGATTTCATGATTGCAACTTCCCTGTCATATCTAGAAGACACGGTCCTACAAGAGGTATCCTGGTCCTCTGCCGCCTATAATCTTTCCATCTTCTCTTCCTTGATTTTCCCTGAGCTCCAAGCGCAGGGATTATGTTGTTACATTGTGGCATTTTATCTTCTGTTTCCTCAGATAAGCAAAACAAAAAACAAAAAGCGATGGGGTTTAATACAAGCATCTTTCCGAATGGCGTTCACTTTAAAAAGAAAACCCCTTTGATTGGCCTTAAGCTGGGGCCGTTTCTCATCTAATAAGAAAGAAATCACACATGCGCATGCCACTCTTCTTTCTTCTTTATCTGCCGCTGTTCTGTGAACGGGCTGAGATCCTGCTCCGTGGTCTGGTTTTGGTGATGGGTATCTGCGAGCTGTGCAGCCGCCTTGACACTTTACTGTGGTTAGCTGTGGTGATTTCAACGCCGTGTAGCAGAGCTGTCTCTAAAACCGCCTCTTTATTCAGCCCTGAGGATGGATTGCCTGCGGATCGCCCATGGGAGGCCTTTTTAGTGGGCCCTTGGCACCAGCTGTGGCAGCCCTGGCTCTGGTTCTGAAGGGCGTTGTGTGCCAGATGAAATGATCCCACCGGGCTCTTTGATCTGATCCCACTTGGTCAGCTGGGAAAGCGAGGCTGTTCCCTCTCCACTCTTGTGCAGCTCCAGGTTGGCCGCGGGCCGTGGGCTGTGGTGTCTTCTCACGCCACGGGGGTTCTCGCTCCCCTCAGCTGATAGCTCTGACGTGGGCCCTTATTCTGGCACTCTCATTGATCTATGTTGCCCAGTGCTGGCCCGACTGCATTGGTTTTTGTTTCTCTACAATGTTGTTAAGTTTCTTCATTCCTGGCAAGCTCCTGAATTCCCCAGCAAGCTTGAGGTGTAATCACATTTCAACCGCTGCTCTGATATGAGGCCCCAATTAAACGGAGATGAAAAGGCTGAAGGAGGTTCAGAAACACAGAGCTCAGGCCAATGTGTTTTACTCCGTGGGCCCCGTAGCGAGAAGATGACAGGCCCGCTGAGGTTTGGATTTTAGGCTGAAGTTTGGAGCGGGCGAGATTTGTTTTAGTATGTGTGCTTCCAGTCAGTGTTGAAGTTGGGAGAAGCTGCTTGCAACAGCTCATGAAGGAGCTGCTGAAAGCCCCCCATAAACACAGCAAATTAACGTGCATTGCTGCAAGAATACCAAAACAGAAGAAAGATTGATTAGTCAGGCAGGAGGTGAGGAAAACTTTCCCCAGTCTCCTCCTGAAAGCAACATCCTTTCTTTCTCACCTCAGCACAACACTATATGGCGGTGCAAATTCATTTGTCATATACTACACTGCGCTGCAGTTCAGGCTGGCCTATGGTCGTTTGGCTCTATCAAGATACAGAGCAAACCAAAGGTCTCCATATCTGGATCTACTAAGGAAGCAGAGCATCTAAGTATGAAAAAAGTGCCAACAAGTGAACTTGGAAATAATGTTATTAAGGAGAAGGAGTTCTATCCACCCATTTTCTGATTTTTCTTACTAGCACTTATCGTCACACACACACACACACACACACACACACACACACACACACGAGCCTGTGAAAACAACCATGGACATTTGTGTCTGAATTTACCTTTCTAAAACCACTAACTGTTTAAGTCAGTAGGGGCATACTGGAGAGAGGGCACTAATGAAAGGCAAAGTTTCATTTTTTTTCAAAACAAATAAAAAGGTATTATTGAAAACAGAAAACTCAAAATTGTATGCTTGTTAAAAATAATAATGAAAAAACACACACACAAATCTCTGGGTATATATCAGTTTTCAAAGAAATATTCATAGTCTCATAGATCGGTATAAATATCAATCAAAACAAATGATCTGAACACTCACCTCAAACATCTAGAAAAAGAACAGTACGGAAAATCTAAAAAAATGCAGTCAATATAGAAAAATTGGAAATCAATAGAGCTCTGTAGTCATTTCAAACAACTCGATTAATATCAAAATTATATAAGATATCACTATTACATAAGATTATTAATACATATAAGAATGTAATATCAATATTGCATAAGATGATCCAAAAAAGAGGGGAACATGAGATGAAAAGCAAAACACACATTAAAAATTAAAAGGAGAATCCCACCCAAATAATTTAGTGAGCTCTAGTTTCCTGTCTTTCTACCAATAGATTTTAAAACCTCGATTAAATGCAGACAGTGAAGAGGGGTCAAGCGACGGCTCGGAAGTGAAGAGCACTTGCTGCTTTTGCAGAGGACCCAAGTTTAGTTTCCAGGCCTCACAGGGCAGCTCACAGCCTCCAATTCTAGAGGATCTGATGCTCTCCTCTGGGCTCCCCAGGCACTGCATGCATGTGTTCACAGACACCCACACGTATAAGATTTAATAACAATAGCATATTTCAAAATGAATAATGAAGAAAATTAACTTACCACAAATGACTTTGACAAAAGTGTTTTCAAGACAATAACCATAAAAATTAATCCTCCACGAAGCAATGTTAGATTTAGTTGGGTTCACAGAAAAATCTATCACAACCATAATGACTCAACAATCCAATGAATTAAAATATATAAGGATATATAGAGAAGAAAGAGATTCTCTATTTTTATTTTCTGAATCTATTATGCCATTGATCCCCAATTCTGACTATGATTGTATTTAAAAAAGCTATATAAAATTGTAAAAATTGCCCACAGAATTAAATATTCATAAATTATTAAGTTTAATGTGACTCCAATAAAAGTTTCTCTGCAATGTCAACATATGAATAGGCATGAAAATAATAAAAGCGAAGGAAAAAATGTGTATGTACATTAGAAGCTCTGCTCACCATACTTGAGATTAATATATGTTGATGTACAATAAAACGTGTGTTTGTGTGTGTGTGTGTGTGTGGCCTTGCAATTAAGGCAATTAAAGAAGTTTGTTAATGTACATGAGTACAAGAGATAATCAATAGAATAAAATAGGAAAACTCAGCAATTTATATATATATATATATATATATATATATATATATATATTTAGTAAGCTATAATGGCCAGCCACATCTTTTTCTAATTATTTTTGCCCATTTCATACATGTATGCAATGCATTCTGATCATATCCACTCCCTTCTGCCTTCTCTCACCTGCCTCTTCTTCTTGTAACTCCCTTTTTCCTTCCAGCCAGGCCCCTCCTGCTTTCACATCTTTAATTTATGCAAATCTTATGCAGGTGGCCCTTGCTGCTGTGTTCATGATTGCCATGGGCCTGGCCATACCCAGAAAGCACTGTTTTAGATGTTCTTCCACATCCTCTCACTCTGAGCTTATCTTTTCCTGTTCTGCTATATTGTGCAGACATGGTGGGTGTTATAGATAGTCTACTTAGGGCTGAAGGCTCAACAGTCACAGATTCTCATCATTTGGATGCATGCATGTGTTCACAGACACCCACATGTATAAGTCTCCACTGTAAGCAACACTGTGCAATAAGATGCTTCTAGGATCAAGCAGTAGTCAATGAGCATGAACACGCATGCTTAGAAGGCAATGTGAGCACTTACCTGTTGCAGGACCTGAGAAAAGGGTTTCCCCTAGAGCTTGTGGCCTCCCTAGCCTTAAGCTTTTGACCAGGTTTATAGTATTAGGCACGCATATACTTCCGTAGAATATCTTTCAGATCTGACCAGGAAACAGTTGATTGCTAGCCCCTGCCACACACACATAGACCAGTTGTTAGTGGGTACATATTACTTGATAGTTAAGTATCGTAGGATGTTGGCTTCACAACTTAATAAGGCCATTGATGAATTTTCTCTCCCAGGAGGCTTCATAGGTCCTTTTGCTATGAATGCTAGCCAGTAAACTAGAAGCTTTTTGCTAGGCTCTCACTGATTTCTGTGCCCTTGTATCCAAAAAGTGTGGCATCATCAGCAATGAGATCTTATCATCTCATTCTGATAGGCAGCTGAGAGCAAGGGACTGGCCATATCTTCAGCAATGGAGGAGATAGAAAAATGGTAAGGAAGTTACCTAGAAAAAAGTGACATGACTTTCATTCCTTATCCTTCTCATAAAGCTAAAATCTAGAATGGTCAGCGACTAAATACAAACATAAAACCATTCAAGATCGGAAAGGAAACGTAGGCGAATCCCTCTGTATTCTGAGGATGGGAAACATTCCTAACTGTGAAAACCCAATAGCAATAAAATAAAAGTACCGAAAATTTAAACTCCATCAGGATTTGGGCAGTGAGAGTATAGGGACTCTCCATATATGCACCAAGCTTGGAACATCTTTGCAACTTGTTTTAGAAACAAAGGGTTATCTTTTCTACTAT